GTGATGGTGATGATGATGATGACAGTGGTGGTGATGGTGGTGGTGGTGGTCATGTGATGGTGCTACTGGTGGTGATGGTGGTGACGGGGAGCTGAGTCTGGGCCAGTTGAGAAGATACAGGGCCAGAGGTTTCAAGGGTTTGCCACTTGATGCACCAGGGCCTTGCTGCATCTCTGATGAGCCTGTGTCTTGTGTGGACAGTGGGTGACAACGCTGCTCTCCAAGCCTTCTGTAAGACGGTGTCAGCCTGGTTCTGTGGAGTCTTGTGACCCTGGCCCCACAGTAGCCGTGGTGGCAGTGAGGCCACCAGGGCCAGTGTAGGAAGACTATTGATACCCAAGCTCTTGTGAGGAGAATGGGCTGCAACCAGCYGAGACGGGGAGGGACATCCAGGGCCTCAGGGCTGGTGCTCCTTGGCCAAGGAGGGACCTCCAAGGCCTCCCTGAAGGGTCCCTGTGGGCCTACCTGCTCCAGAATCCCAGACATCTCTAAAGCAGCTTTGGGTCCTCAAGTTTAAGAAACGGGGAGCATCGGAGGCCCAGTCACACAGCCACATCTCAGGAGGCCCGCGAGGGGGCTGCCTCCCTGCCTGAGCCTCTAGGGCTGAAAGAGCACCTGTGGGAGCGAGGGCTCGGGGAGCCTGCAGCTGCCTGAGGTCTGCGGGCTCCAGGCCTCGCCCTCTGCCTGCAGACCTAGCCCCAGGTGTYTCAGGGCCAGAGCCTCCTGGGGCCTCCCTCCTTGGCTTACAGGTGCTGCCTTCTCCCCAGGTCCTACAGTCACCCTCTGGGTGTCTGTGTCCCGATCTTCTGGTGGGGACACAGCCATGCCAGTTCAGGGCCACCCTGGTGACCTCATGGGGCAGAGCCTGTCTCTGTGCAGTGACATTCTGAGGGGCTGGGGGTTAGGACTTCAGCACCAAGTTTGGAGGGTCACAGTGTCACCTACAGCAAGGTCCAAGCAGGACCCGCAGGGGTGCAGCCAGACCCAGCAGGCTGTTACCTGCCGAGCTCAGGAGGAGCCAGCGTCCTACCAGGGTGCACTTGGGGGCTAAGTTCAGAGACTTAACCAGGGGAGCGGGCTTCCAGAGCTTAGGTTTTCTAGCCCAAGTCCCTAAGTGTGGTAGCCATTTTGCACCAACCACAGGGCACCCGCTTCACGCAGAGGTGGGCTGACCAGCAGAACAGCCGGGGTGCTGGGGAGGGGCAGGAAGGAGGGGAGCCATTCTGTACATGAGGCCAGGCCAGAGCACAGGACACACATGTCCAGGAGGTGAGGGGTGTGTGTGTGTGGTGTGTGGTGTGGGGGGCCTGTGTGTGAGACGTGGGATGTGTGTCTTGTGGCTGTGTGTGAAGTGCGTGTGTGATGTGTGTTAGGTAGATGTGTGTGTGTGTGTGTGTGGTGTGAGGGGTGTGATGTGTGGCATCTGAGATCTCTGGTGCCTGTGAGTGTGTGGTGAGTGTGTGAGAATATGCTGTGCTTGCTACTATTTGTGGGGCCTGTGTGCCTGTGTGAGGGTGTGTGCAGTGCGCACCGTGCTGTGTGTGGGTGTGGTGTCTGGTGCATGCCTGTGGGGTGTGTGTYTGTCACTACTTTGTAGTGGCGGTAAGCGCTCCTGTCTGCCTGGGGGGCAGTGGTCACTCAGACATTCCCACACCCACCGCCTCCCAGGAGGAAGGTGCTGGCCATCACATGGCCAACCTGCTGGGCCTCATCACGGTCCCGGAGCCCTGTGGCCTCCGCCTCCCCCTGCCTGACTGAAGTGCTCAGGCCCCGGTGGCCCTGGCACGGCTTCTCGAGGACTCCACCTGGCCTCTGGCCTCACTGTCGGCAGCCCCCTAGAAGCCCCTGACCTGTGCCACTCCCTGTGGAGTCTGAGGCTCTCAAGAGAGTCCCCTCCCCACCTTGGGGTCTGGGCGAGAGCAGGGCCAAGCTGCTCTGGGTGGAGGGTGGAGGTGCTGCCGGACACTGCTGGTCCCCAGGAACCCAGAGGGCTAGTGTCTGCCCTGGGGATGGGGAGGCTGAGCAAGCCACGCCTCTAACGCAGGACCAGGGCCTGCTGCCCACTGGAAGTGGGCTGTGCACCCCCGAGGTAATGAGGTGACGGGAAGCCCGGGGAGGCAGGCTGGAGAGGGGCCGTCTCCCACTCCTGCTCCCACAGAGCCTGCTGAGGAGAGGCCCCTGGACACGGGAGAGAGGAAGGGACACTGGAGGCCCTGGGCAGAGCCAGCAGGAGCAGAGGCCACCCATTCCTCCCTCCGGCTGCTGACCTCCGCCCTCAGGGTTGCCYAATGCAGACAGCATGACCACCAGACAGCAAATTGCTGTGCCACCTGCTCTTTATTGGCTGCCATGGGCTGCATTCTCATGGGTGACCGGAGTCCCCAGGAGAGGAAATACACAGAGGAAGGGTGCAGGAAGACGGTCTGAGAGGAGCAGGCTGCAGAGCCAGGGGCCCCCAGCACCCACGGCACCACAGGAAGTGGGCTGGGCCACCGAGGAGGCCACCGGTGTCCGGATCCATCCAGAGGGCTGGGCCAGGGCACCCTTGGGGCTGAGCAGAGCTGATGTCCCTCGGGAGGACAAGGTCCCATCTAGAGAAGTGTGTGATGCAATCACTCCCCGGCGGGCAGGTGTTGGGCCTGGGACACCCTGAGGTCACGGCTCCAAGCTCCCGGCCACTCTCTCAAAACCTCATTCCTCTGAGAAGACTAGGGATGAAGGAAAGGAAAGGAAGGGAAGGCAGAGGCCTTTTCTGTGGTCCCCCCGCTGGAGGGGTCAGGGGCCGAGGGGGGCAGCCGAGGCCGAGGCCTGCTTAGGACGAGGGTGCCGAGCTGGGCTTCTCCTCCCGCGACACGGGAATGGCTCTCTCGCTGTGGCCAGCGTCCAGGCCAGACTGGACCTTGGGGCCTGAGAACGTCAGCATGCCGTCTGCAGACAGGGAGCAGGACAGGGCCGACTGGTCCACGTTGGAGGGCAGGCGGTAGCGGCGGTGGAACTCCCGGGAAATGTAGCCATGGTCATCCTGGGAAGAGGCCGGGAGGGGTGGTCAGAAGCAGCAGGGCAGCTGCCATCCCCCACGCTGAGAAGGGCCCTCCCAGACCCCGTGAGGCAGCCGGGCTGTGGTGTCCTCACAGGGGCTGAGCTGAAGAACTGGAGGGCCACTGTCCAGACCTCCAGAGACGTATGGACCCATGTCCAGACCCTCTCCAGCCCTGGAATCTCAGCCCAGCCTGCTGGCTCCCTGACCTCCGAGAGAGACCTTTGACAAGAGCAGAGCACAGCAGCTGGGACTGCCCAGGGCTCTCTCTGGCCTGGCGTTGGCCCCCAGTGGGATGCCTCATGCCACTGGCCCRGCCTCTCCATCAGGTTTTCCCCTGAGGGTGACCCAGGAAGACTGCTCAGGCCGGGCCTCTCACTCCCACCTGACAGGGTGGGAAGCTGCGGGGGCAGAAGGCCTTTGCTTCTGGAGGCCCTGACCCCAGATCCAGCTCCTGGGCCCTGCTTCCTCCTCCAGGTGCAAAGACCTGAGAGCTGGGAACTGGACGAAGAGGGACTGGACAGGGAGGGGGCCTCCCCTAGCCAGGGCGGGGAGGGGCAGCAGACAGGGAGCCCCCAGGGTCTCCATATGACCAGGAGTGGGCGCAGGGTGGTGACTGCAGGGGAGCCCCCACTGCCCCCTGGTACTAGCCACGGGATCCGGCAGGCGGGGGACCTCCTCAGGCTCTGGCCCTACCCTGGTTACCCCGAGATACTAAGCCCAATGTTGAAAAGGGCCACTGAGAGGTGACTCAGTGGACGTCCCTGAAGGCCAGCTGTACTGTCCTCACGGGCTCGCCCTCCAAAGTGAGGTTGTGAAAACACGTGTTGGCTCAGAAGTGCCCACGGCGGGCCCTGCCCTTTCCCGGGGTCCTTCTAATCCCATCCTGTTGCGAAGACCCAGAGCAGCCCCGACAGCCGGGAGCAGCACCCAAGGCAAGGACTCAGGAGGGAGCCGCAGGCCACATTCACAGCACTGCCCCGCCCTGCTGGGCTCAGGGGGACAGTGCCCAGGGTCCAGAGGCCTGCTGTGGGCAGGTGGAGGCGCTGTCCCGGGCGCGGAGCTCACCTGCCGCTCGTTGTGCTTGCCGTGGATCTCCACGAAGTCCTCCAGCACCTTCACCGTCAGGTCCTCGGGAGAGAAGTGCTTCACATCCAGGAGGATGACGAACTTGTCCCTGTCGGATCGGACCTGAAACCCAGACCCGCATGTGGAGCTCCCCAGAGGGCCACCAGCTCCAGGATGGAGCGGACACACCACCCAGAGCGATTGGCAGCTCCAGCACCAGCCACCGGAGCTGGCACCAGGCACYGGAGCAGACCCTGTGCTGGCCTCCTCCTCACGGGCCAGCAGAACGGAGTGCACAGGAGCCGGACTGCGGCACCCGTGCCAAGGGCAGCTGCGCCACTCACCCCAGACCTTAGGGGTAGGAGTGCTTGACCACTGCTGGGCGATAGGTGGGCTGGCCGGTCCCTGGGACGTCACCAGCGGGGTGTGGGTCCTGGTGAGCTAACTGGCTGTGGCTAATTGGCATGGCTGGCTGGCTGACACAAGTCTGCTGGCTGGTGACGGTCAGGGTGGCTGGTCATGGGCTGAATGGTTGTTTGGTGATGGCCAGGGGGCTCTTTAGGGTTGGAACGCTGGTTGCTCACGAGTTGGCATTTGGAATAAGGTGGCTGCCCCAGCTACATCTGGGCTCCGTAAGCCCCCACCGGGGCCCATCTTCCAGGTCCACCTGCTGCTGCAGCCTGCGCAGCATTCTGTCCAGCTCACAAAGCCCTCTGTCCCTTGCTCTCCCCTCCCTGCCCTGGCTCCTGGGCTCTCTCTGGCTATTCTGCTCCCGGGCATGGTTGGTAGTGCCTGGCCTCTGGGAGCCTCCTCCTTTAGGAGGCCTGCTGGCCTGGACCTGCCCCAGCTCAGCAGGAGAGGGAAGTGGCCTCAGGCCTTTCCTGGGCATGGCTGCGCACCGGTCAGCTGGGTGAGAGCCCAGTCTCTGAGCTTTGCCAGCAGCAAAAGGCAGCTGCTCTGCTGAAGTAACCCTCTCTCTGGGCCTCAGGCAGCACACCCTCCTGCACCTGCAGGGCCAGCGGGAGGACAGCCCGACCCGGGAAGCTCACACCACCCCCCGACTTGCCTTGGCGGGGTTGTTCTTGGGGTTTCCAGCATGTGGTTGGTGCATTACAAACCACATACGGGTCATGAGCTGATGGGAGGAAAAGACAGCAGTTGGGTCTGGGTGGGCTTCCTACTCCAACCCTCCCCAGGGGCGCCTCTGAAGGTGACGAGACTGGGGGAGGCAGGACGGTGGCCTACAGCCACCACCTGCTCCGGGGAACAAGATGAGTGCGCCAGGGGCAGCAGGTGGCCCCTGGGGAATCCCTAGCTGTCCTCTGCCCAGGCCGGGCCCCCCACTGACCAGCCAGGAGAAGCCAGAGGCCCCAGGACCTTACCTCGGAGATGCCAGAGTCCAGCACTGTGCGGAAGAGGGACTGGCGGTAGTAGGGGCTGATGGTGGAAGACAGGAAGGGCAACAGGTCATACTCGAAGAGGCCCTCACCAAAGAACTGGTCGAACAGCCGGCTGGGGTAGAAGGGTCCCAGTGCACGCTTGAACCAGGGGTGCTGGATGGTGACGTCCATGTTCTGCTTCGGCACTGCGGGGACTGGAGGCTGGCGACAGGGCAGGGCAGAGGCCTCTGGGCAGCGCAGTGGGGAGCCGGGTGGCCAGCCCTCCCTATATACGCCTGGACAGAATGGAGGCATTAAAGGATTTCTCTGGAAATGCCTGAGCTCAGGAGGAAGGTTGCAGAGTCAGCAGAGCCCGGCGGGGCCCCACGCCTGCTGCCCCAGCCCCAGAGGCACAGGCTGCCCCAGCCCCAGAGTCCAGGCCTGAGCTGTCTGGGCACCTCAGGGCCACCAGGAGGACAGGTGCCCCCATGTTCACCACGGGGAGACCGTGGAAAGGTCATCTGTGTGGGTCAGGGGCAGCACTGATTCTTGGCACACCTCTGTCCTGACTGTTCCTCACAGTGGCCCTTGGAGGGGAAGCTCATCGCTCTGCTTCACCAACAAGGAAACGGAGGCACAGAGGTTAGACCAGCTGTCCCCAAATCTCAGCTCCCAGGTGACGGCACGTTTCTCCAGAGCAGAATTACCTCTGTTGCTTCTTACTGATCACAAAGATGAGGCCTCCTCACATCAAGCTCAGGAAGACAGGAAATAGAACAAGCCAGCCGAGCCCTGGGGTGCCGGCAGGAGCCCTGTTCAGCCTCAGGCTCACTCCAAAGACCGTGGGCTTCCTGCAGGGGCCTGATTGAGCATGAGGAGAGGGGACCTGCGTTCCAGGCCCTCCGYGCGGCTCACCCTCCATGGACATGGCCCCCTGCAAAGCCTGGAGCCTCAGCATGACCACACCGTGGTTGCCAACTGACCACCCATCACCATGGTCACTGGCCACAGGGTCCTGCTGTTGGCAAGGCCTGGTGAGTACTCTGCTCCTGCCCATGCCCTCTCCAGTGACTCCCACTTTTAATGCTTCTAGAAGTTTCTTGACCTTGGGCAGCATTATACTTCTGCTTCCTACACCCCTACCGCAGAGGACAAAGCCTGCTCCCACAACCCGGGCTAGCTTTTGGCACGCATGACCCAGACCATGAGAAGCTGCCGGTTCCCCTTTGTGCCTCCTGCTTCCTGGCCCAGCTTCTAATCAATGTCCAGTCCATGTTTGTGGAACAAACTCTAGCCCCAGGCTCTCAGGATCTTTGCAAACTCTCTRGCCCACGGACTCAGAAGGTCATCAGAGAATAGACACCCGGCCATGAGGATGGTACATCCAGGACAAAATTGGTGTTGCAAGTGGGGACCCAGGGCCTTTGCCACGCAGTGTGAACAGGTGGGGGCTTCAGTGAAGGGGGCTTCAGGTTGCCTGTTGGGCTGGGGTCACACCTGAGCGGTGGCAGGGGTATGGACAGGGTGGGGTGCCAGCTGCCTGTTCCTGGTGCAGAGGGTGGGGTGGGGGGGGGCAGGTGGAAGCTGAGTGAGTCCTCCAGGGAGTGGCCAGTGGGGCCAGGCCCCAGGTCATGGCTGGGCGGTGCCGTCCTGTAGTGCCAGGCAAGGACAGCAGCGTTCTTTCTGTCTCCACTTAAACTCTGCTCATCACAGATGTTCTGTGCTCGTTTTGACTTTTTTCACGTTGCCTTTAGATAGGACTCATCTCGACAGCTACAGTGCTTGGCACCTCCCTGGCACTGGGCACAGAGGGAAGCATGTTGCTCTGCCTGCCGGCGCTGGCTCTGCCTGTGGGCGGTCGACAGCTGGGGCCCTCAGCAGGGATGGAGACAAGTGCCCCCTGACGCTGGCCTGAGCCTCGTCCCGAGGCTCAGCTGCCGAGGGTAAGGCCAGGTCCTCTGGTCTCAGGTGCTCACACTCCTGTACCCCGACCCCTGTGGGCCGAGAGTCCGGGGGGCCCTGGGGCATGGAAGGCCAGGCAAAGTCTTCAGGGTGAGCCAGGCCTAGGTCTGCACAACTGAACCATGAAGATTGAGACGGGGAGCTACAGCGCCAGGGCCCTCAGGGGCCCTGGGTGAGTGTGCTGCAGCTGCCCTAGGAGGCGCCACAGACTTGGTAGCTTAAAACACACTAATGCATGATCTCGAGGTTCTGGAGGCCAGAAGTCTGCTGAGCTAAAGCCAAGGAGGGCCCGCTGGTGCCTGTGCTGGGCTTAGAAGAACAGGTGGGGGCTTCAGTGAAGCCGCCCTCCAGCTCCCTCTGACTGGAGGCTCTTCTCCCACCTTCAAGGGAGGCGTGGGTGGTCCGGTCTCCCATCACCTCTCTGGCTGTCGCTCTCCTGCCCCTGACCCTGGATGAGCCAGGACCATCTCCCTGAGGCCAGCAATCCAGGGAAACCAGCCTCCTTCCCTCTGCCACGTCAGCAATAGACTAGCTCTGGGAACTGGGGCAGGGAGGCCTTGTTGCTCCTGCTGGCTAGGGAAGAGYGTGAGGTGTGGCCCAGGGCTGCCCTGGCCCTGGCCCTGGAGCACAGACTGGTGGCCTACTCTACCACTAACCAAGAAGGGCCAGTGGTGAGGGTCAACATGGAGCCTCTGACTGTCCTCAACCTGAACCCCAGGTGGCTATCAAGGGCTCCCCCGCTTCATCTCCAGCCCACTGGCCTGGGTCCTGCCAGTCTCCGTCTGCTGCTTGAGAGCACCTTCCTTCCTGGACAGACTCTGGCTGAGCCCTGTCCACACTCCACACTGTCAAGCAAAGCCTGCTCTGTGGAGCCGATGGTCTAGAGGGTGAGACAAAGAAGCAGGTGGCATCCAGGGCTCAGCAGGGACAGAGCAGGACCAGGGGGGGACCCTGGGGCTCTTCCAGCAGACACGCTTGCCGTGTCCCCACCCACCCTGGGTCTGGGCCAGGCCCCTTGCTGTGGGCCTGGGTTCCTTCTAGAAATCACGGTGAAGATGCCCACTCCAGTTGGGGTGTCAAATGTCCCCCAAGGCCCCTGTGTTAAAGCTTCGGTCTTCAGGGAGGCCCTCCTGCGAGATGGTGGAGCCGTGGCGGGGGCGGGGGGGGGTCTTTAGGTCACTGATGGTGCCCCTGAAGAGGCCTGTGGAACCGTGTCCCYTCCTCTCTCTCCTGCTTCCTGGATCATGAGGTGGGCTCCACCAGGCACCCGCCATGGTGTGCTGCCCCCGCCAGAGACCCAAAGCTATGAGGCCACCTGCCCTGGACTGGACCCTCCAGAACCATGGGCCCAAATAAACCTTTCCCAAGTCACCTGCCTGACRCTTGTTGCTCTAGTGACAGAAAGCCACCTCACAAAACACTACTTCAAAGCCATCAAGTATAGCGGCAGGTCCAGCCACGAAGGTGCCGTGTCTGGGAACTGAAGTCAGGTTCTTCTCATGACTCCACGTCCTGCCCATCGAAACCACACAGACCAGCCCTCCCCGTCGGGGCCTAAGTTCTGCACACCACACACAGCGGGCGACCCTCACGGTTGGAGCACACCCTCTGGGGTGCTGTGAACACCGACTGAGCGAACACAGCAGAGACCAAGCCCCGGCCACAGGGGAAAGCCGAGGTCCCGCTCCTGTGAGGCCCTGACCCATCAAGACAGAGCCTAGCTTCGTGTGTCTCTAATGACACCTGATTTCTTATGTGTCGTTGGTCCGTGAATATTGACTCTGCTCCGACAGCACCATGGGGTAGCCTGACTGAGACTTCTTTAATGCATGCGTTTTCTCCATGAGAAACGGCACAGCTTCCTCATGTGCAGGACAGGGACAGCACTTCAGCACTGTACTCAGGGCACTGAAACAGCAAAATCACCAAAAACAAACCAACACACACAAAAATGCAAAACACACAGCATAAAGACACCTCAAAAAGACACAAGGTGACTGGTCAGCCTCGGCTGGGAACACGCGTCCTGGGGGACACTCGGCCACTCGGAATGACCTTGGAGGGCAGGTACACTTGAGCAAGTGCGTGAGATTGTGAGAGCAAGCAGGCACCGTRGTCTGAACTGGATCCCCAAATTCTCATGCTACGTCCTTGCCCCAGGGCCTSAGAAGGTGACTTATTTGGAGACGGGACTTTGAATTGAGGTAAGACAAGGTCATGTGGTGGAGCTTACTCCAATCTGTGTCCTCACCGTGGAAGTCTGGACACAAGAGAGACACCAGGAATGCAGGAACGCAGGAAAGACCACGTGGGGACTCAGCAACAAGACGCCCTGCCACCATGCGGAGCCGCCTCRCGAGGAACCTGCCCTCTCACACCTTCACCTTGGACTTTTAGCCTTCAGAGCAATAAAAAATAAAGTTCTGCTTAAGCAGCCCACTCTGTAGCACCCTGGGCCCCTCATCTGAGGTTGGGCTTTCTGTCATTTCAACTGCTTGCAGTCAGTCATGGTCCAAAAATATTAAATGAAAAATTCCAGAAATAAGCCATTCATGAGTGTAAAATGCACACTGTTCTGGGCAGCATGAGGAAACCTCTCGCCTGCTCCATCTGCTCCCTCCTGACCCAGGGTGGAGGAGGGGCCAAAGGCCCAGGGACCAGGCAGGGGGTGTCGGTGTCAGGGAAGGACCCCACTGATGTGGGTGGGTGGTGTGTGTCTATGGCGTGTGCATGCTTTGTGCATCTGTGTGTGGCATGTGTGGTGTCTGTATTGGGTGTGTGTGGTGTGTCATGTGTCTATGCAGAAGTTTGTGTATATCTGTGCATGTGGCGTATGTGGTGCATGTGTATAGTGTGGGTGTCTGTGATGTGTGTGTCTGATGTGTGTGTGATTGTGTGTGTCGCACGTGCTGGGTGTGTGACTGTGTGCATGTGGTGTGTATATTGTGTGCATGTGGTGTGTGTTTTGTGTGTGTGGTTGAATGTGCTGTGTGAGGTTATGTGGGTGGCGTGTGCTGTGTGTGCGGTTGTGTGTGACGGTGACTGATGGAGGACAGCCATGACCTCGGGGGTCTTTTCTCCGCTATCTGGTGGCCCTGCCCAGGCAGGCGGGTGCTGCTGTGGTCCCTGCATTGTCCCCACGGTTTTCTCCTGTCCTCAGCATTTGCGCTTCCTGCGCCCGCTCGGCGCCAGCCTCCCCCACACACAAAGGACACACTGACTTAGGCAGAGGATTCCCAGAGCCAGCAGTCTGCCGCGCGCGCAG